TGTCCAATTTTCTGAGGGTATTTGGAAGCCTGTCGACTCCTGCACAGAAGGCAGGGAGCAGAGCCAGCGCGGTGTCACGGAGGGGTCACTGCTTCCTGGGCTTCCTGTTTATTTTGGGAAGGGGTCACCCGGCCAGCCGGCCGCTCTGCCTGCGCCCCGGGAAGCCCCCGGCCACCACATTCCTGCCCCCCTCGCCCGTGGCTGCAGACAATTGCTGACTGTGGCTCGAAATGCAGAGCACCAAGGCGGGGTGTAAATGGGATAACCCGACATGCCTATTTACTCAGCCTGGGGATAAGGGGTGGAAGCTTTTCCACATCAATTGCCCTTTCTTCTGGTATCTGGAAGTGTCTCGCTGAAGTTTTTCGCTCTCTTCGGAGGGTAGTAACCTCTGAATTTCTCAAGTATTTCCATGATCTTTTCCTCGCTGCCTTTTTTTTTTTTTCTACTCCTACTTGAAAAGAGGGCATAAAGTCAACTGCACTGTTAAAAACAGAATTGTCTCCTTTTTTAAAGAAAGCATGCAAATTTTTGTCCAAACTGCCTAGAGCAGAGCCCACCAATGGAGCAGAAGCTGTAGCTCACAGGCTCTTGCTGACAGTGCGAGTCCCTGGTAACTAGCCCTGACCAGACTGTCTGGAGCAAAGTGTTGGAGCAGAATAGCAGCATATGTCGCATCTCCATATTTTGAGACATATCCGTGAACAGATTGTAAACTATGGTCCTAGTGCTGTTTCCTCTTCTAGGCAGGCTCTGCTTAGGTGACTCGCAGCCCTTCAGAAGTTAACATCAAACAGCAGCATTCAATGCAATTTAGTGTTTTCAAGGAGTTAATAAAAGGTCCCATGTATGGGAAATAGCAGACACTGAGTAGCTGCTCGAGTCCCTCTCAATCCTCTGGCACGTCCTCCTCACACTGAGCGAGTGCAGTGACCTCTCTCCGGCCTCAGTGGAGTATTTTTGTGCCAGTGGCTCTGTCAGCTCCTGCCATCAGCAGTCAGCTCCAGGCTGCAGGGCAGCCGCCAGCACGCCGCTGATGAGCAGCTCTTGGGGAAGCATGTTCTCATCCTGCAAGCCCATGAGTGCACACAGCTTTACATTCATAGTGATGCTCCTGTGAGTAAAGTTGTAACTGGTTGTAAACATCTGCAGGATCAGTAGCTTACCATGAGCCTGTCCAAACCCTATTTATGTTAACACGCTGTGCCTGATGACACCCTCATTTGCATAGTATCTTTTTTCCCCCCTACAGCACTAGATTAAAACATTTTTGGCCCAAAGTCACCTGCATCTGACTAAATCCAAGATTTCAAGGACTATTCCCAGCCTCTCCTCTCTCAGGTCTGAGAGAGCAACCTCCATAATTCATTATGAATCAATGAAGGAGAGGTGGTAGCATCCTTCAGCATAATTGTCCTTCCTATCTTGGCTCTGGCCATTTTGATATGACCCTGCAGGACTTCTGCCACAACAGAAGGATGCAAATAAGAGCTATGGAGGAAGGAGTGCGTGTCTGCTGGAGAAGGATGTGAGACAGCCCTCAGTCAGAAGGGAAAGAAGAATGCCAAGGGCAGAGATGATCAAGTGGGGAGCACTGGTTTGGACACAGACAGAAGGGCAGGCCCCATGGGGGATAGTATGTGAGTGGGACCACAGTTCTGGGACAAGGGTCTGCACAAAATCACTGCTGCCAGTGCAGAGGATAAGAGGGAAAGAATATAAAACCCTGCAGGGAGGAAGAGAAACACAGCAAGATCTCACTGTGTTTCACTGACAAAAGCAAGAAAACACATTGTGAGAAGGGGCATGGCATTGATGTGGGGGTGGCAAACAGAGTTCATCTCAAAGAGCTGCCTCATTACAATCTTTCCTCTCCCCTCCTTCCCTCACCCATGGCACTGGGCACACCAGAACAAGCAAAAGCCTTCCACACTGTGCTGCACCCTCATCCTTGCCATCATGGTGCTCCTTGGGCAGGGACTGCCCCAGACCGTCACAGCCCTGCACCCCATAAGACATTGTCCAGCACTTGCTGCTCCTATCTATAGTCTTGGTATGTGGCAGCAAGGGGCGTTTCGCAGAGGTCTGGCACAAAGGGATAGCTTCTGTTTCAAAAAAGAGAAAAAAAGAACAAGAGACAAATGCATTATTTGTTCAATTCCTGTGCAGTTACTGCTGTAACAGTCAGCAGTTTTGAGGTATTTTTTTTTGTGATTTGATACATAAACCACATTTCCTATGTAGCACTGCCACTATTTTTTATCAGTTTTTTGACATTGAGCTTGGTAACATGATTTTGTTGTTTGTTTGGTTTTTTTTTCCCTTTTCCACCAGAATGAATTCAAAGGCAGCAAATGCGGCAAAACCAGAACACTGCTCATCTTGACTTTTCCACGCAGCTAGTTTTCATTAAAAATAAAGGAAAATAAATACAGATCACATTTTCTGTCCTGCAGTTAAAAGCCTGCCACAGCTCAAAGCTTTGCTTTCTTCTTACCCTGCAGCCTCGCTCAGCTAGCACTCCAGCTCTGCTCATGATCTGAAATGCGCAAACACACTGTTTCTTGGCTTTCCACCAGTATATATAAATATATGTAATTTTTTCCTTCGGAGAACCTGGAGGCTAAAGCAAGAGGGCAAAGGAGTACGTGACTAAAACATCCAAACTTCCTCTTTCATAAGCCATCACATGATGAAGTGCAATTACAATTCCTGCCTTGTCCCTGCCAATTGCAGGCGCATTGCCTCACCCGAGAAACCCGGCTTCTTCCCCCGCCCCGTGTGTGTGTGTGTGAGTGTGTGAGTGTGTGTGTGTGGAGGCAGCGATCGCTGCAGCCGGCTTGGCGAGGCTCCACCTTCGGGCTGGAGAAAGAGGGCAGTGGGTGGAAGACGAAAACAAAGATCTGTTTACTTAGCTTGCATGGATAAATCGTCTTTCCAGCCGGGGAGGGGAGGAGGGAAGAGAAACAGCTTTAAAGGACTTTGATGCAATGTGAAAGGAGGGCTGCTCGGGAAAAGCGAGCCGATGTTAACCCTTGGCTCTCCGGGAGCACGTCGGGGCCACGGCAGGGCTGTCCCCTTCTCCTTGCTCTGCCCTCCGGCCCCGGCCGGCCGCCGCAGGGCTGCTAGGGTCTGTGAGGGCTCTCGGGCTAGCAGCCCCGGCCGCCGCAACGACGTGCGGGGCTGGACCGCGGGCTGGGGTGACTTTTATTTCGCTTATGTACAACGCGGCGCCTCCAGGGCGCCCAGCCGGCCGTGCAGTTGCAAAGTCACCCAACCTGGCAGGGGGGCCGCCGCTGCAGCCAGCGCCAGGACGAGCAGGAGGCCGAGGCAGGGGGAAGCAAGGGCGCCCCGCAGCCCCGGGCGCACGGGCGGCCGCGACACCCAGTGCCCGGCCCCGGCGGGCGGCGCGGGAGCGAGCGCGGGGCGAGAGGGGCGCGGCTCTGCCCCGACGCCCCTCGGCAGCCCGGCCGAGCGAGAGCAGCGCAGCGCAGGCGCTGGTGGCGGGGCAGCCCCGCAGCGCCGTCGGGCGGCCCCCAGCCGCGGGGAGGCACCTCCCGGCGGCGGCGACGGACGTCAGAGCTTCCCCAGCCCCGGCCGGCTCCCGCCTCCCGCCCTCTTTCCCTCCCTCCTCCGTAACCTACATAACGCCGTGGGAAGGGCGGCTGGAGCACGGCTGTCGGGGGGAGCAGCCTCCGCCGTGTTCATCCTGCACGGGCAAAGGCGTGCAGCCGACCGTACGTGCCGGGATGCGCCCGGTGAGGGCTTGCTTCACCTCCCGTGGCACACGAGGAGAGCGAACACCCTCTCTTGCTCCTTCCCTTGCCCCCACCCTGTGTTTCCGTGAGGGTGCAGGTGGCGGATGAGCGATTCACAGCGTGGAAGGGTGTCGGGGAAACAGGTTTTTCTTTTTTTGGGAACGAGACGGCGTGTGCTTAGTCTGTGTGAATTTCACTAATCTGCATTAGAGAACTGCTGGTTTGTGGTTTAAAATGACAGGAAATATAGAACGTCCTATTTCCTGTGCACAATGACAACAGTTAAGAAAAAAAAAAAAACTCTTTTTTTCGTGTGAAAAAAAAAAAAATTAAAAAAAAAAAAAAAAAAAAAAAAAAAGCTGGGTAATCGTTACATTTATTTCTAATGGTGCCTCCTGCTGCGGCGGGGAGAACAAAGCCGAGCACTGCTCGGCGGGGCGCCGGCCCCTGCCCGGTGGTGGCGATGACCGGCCCGGCGGGGGGGACCTCGCAGCTGCGGGGCGCGCCCGGGGCGCCGTGTCCAAGGTCACAGGGCGAGCGGGGCGAGGGACACGAGGGGGTACACTGAGCCCCGCACTGCGGGAGGCGCCCCACGCACCGCTGCGCCCATGGTGGGAGGTTTCGGCAAAGCCCCTCGGCGGTGAGGGAAATAGTAATACACCCAACAATAATAAAAATAAAATCAGAAAAGAAGGAGGGAACTGCAGGGCACTCCCGCCCCTCGCCTTGTCCCTCTCCGCTCCCACAGCCCTCCCCGGCGGCGATACGGGGCGGGGGCACGGCGGCCCCCGGCGGCAGGAGGAACCCCCGGTGCCGGTGGCGGGGGCGCGGGCAGGGGCCGGGGCTGGGATCGCGGCGGCGGCAGCGGGGCGGGGGCGCCCATCGCGCAGGCGCGGCCGGCACTGTCGAAGAATCGTAGCGGCGGCGCGCAGAGGCGGCGGTGGCGGCTGGAGCCCGGCACGGCCGCGCGGTGGAGATGCGCGTCCCCGCCGCCTTGTGAGCGCCGCCGGCGGAGACGGCGACGGGAGCGGCGTTCCCCGCAGCGGCTCTGCCTGCCGGGGCGCCCGCCGCGCCCCGCTCCAGCGCACGGAAGAGGAAGGCGAGGGGGAGGGGGCCCAGCGGACGGTCCCGCTGCGGCCGCGGCTCCCGAGCCTGCCCGTCGGGACCCCGGTGACGAGGGGCGGAGGAGGCAGCGGCCGAAGCCGGAGCGGGGGGCGCTCGCCGCTGCCCCGGGGCCGGGACATGTCGTCGGCGGCGGTGGCGGCTGCTTCCCGCAGGCAGTCGTGCTACCTGTGCGATCTGCCCCGCATGCCCTGGGCCATGATCTGGGACTTCACCGAGCCCGTCTGCCGGGGCTGCGTCAACTACGAGGGCGCCGACCGCGTGGAGTTCGTCATCGACACGGCGCGGCAGCTGAAGCGGGCGCACGGCTGTTTCCCCGAGGGCCGGGCCCCGCCACCGCCCCACGCCAAGCAGCCTCCGCTCTCCGCCAAGGAGCTCCTGGCGCAGCAGCAGCAGCTCGGCCACCCCTCGGCGGCGGAGGCGGCGGCGCGGCCCCCGCCGCAGCCCCTGGAGCGCTACTCGCTGGCGGCCGAGAGGCCGCCGCCCCGCCTGGGCGCCGAGTACGGCGGCGGCCGGCAGGTCAACGGGATCCTGGTGCCCAACGGCTTCCCCAAGCCCGAGGAGCCGCCAGAGCTCAACCGGCAGAGCCCGAACCCGCGGCGGACGCACGCCGTGCCGCCCACCCTTGTGCCGCTGGTGAACGGTGCCGGGCTCCCCGCCGCCATCGGCGGTCTGGGCAGCCGCGCCGCCGCCGCGGCCGCCGCCTCGCTGGCCGCCATCTCCGCCGCGCCCGCCCCCATGGCCGTGCCCGTGCCCCAGCAGCCGGCGGCGGCGGCGCAGGCTGCGGGGCAGGCGGCGGGGCAACCCGGCGAGCTGGGGCACAAGCGCCCCGGCTCCGTCTCCTCCTCCTCCTCCTCGGGTGGCGGCGGCAGCGCAGCGGGGGAGCACGACAGTGGCGCCAAGGAGAAGCGCGGCTCCGCCGAGAGCCTGCCGGCGGCGGCGGCGGCGGAGCTGGCCGCGGAGGGCAAGGGCCGGCCGGGCGCCGAGCAGGAGTGGCTGGCCAAGCCCAAGACAGTGCGGGACACGCTGCTGGCCCTGCACCAGCACGGGAGCCACACCGTGGCCCCCTTCGACAGCAAATTCAAGAAAGAGCCGGGCATGGCGGGCGGCAGGCTGCTGGGCTACGAGACCAACGGCTCCGTGGCCAAGCCAGGTGAAGAGCCGGAGGCCGGGGGGCGGCGGGGAGGGCAGGGGATGACGGGGCGGGAGGGGTGGCTCTCCAGGGATGCGGGGCGGTGGATGCCGGGCGGGTTTGGGCGTGCGGGGCGGTGGCGCGGCCGCTTGGGTGGCCGGGTGCCCGGGGGGTGGCCGAGGCCACCCGTTTCCGCGGTTGCTCGGCGATGCGTTGTGACTGCGCTGCCTTCTTACCCTCCTCCTTCCCCCCTCCTCTGCCTCTGCAGGGGCCCGGGCCGCCCGGAAGAGGAAGCCTTCCCCCGAGCCGGAGGGCGAGGCTGGACCCCCGAAGATCAACGGGGAGGTGCAGCCCTGGCTGTCCACCCCATCGGAAGGGATGAAGCTGCCGCTGACGGCCACCCCCTTCATGTCGCCCCCGCCGCCCACCGCTTCGCCCCACTCCAACCGGACCACGCCGCCCGAGGCGGCACAGAACGGCCAGTCCCCCATGGCCGCCCTCATTCTGGTGGCGGACAATGCCGGGGGCAACCACGCCTCCAAAGACGCCAACCAGGTCCACTCCACCACGCGGAGGAACAGCAGCAGCCCCCCCTCGCCCTCCGCCATGAACCAAAGAAGGCTGGGCCCCGGCAGGGAGGTGCCGGGCCAGGGGGCCAACGCGGCGGCGGCGGGCGGGCTGGAGCCCGTGCACCCCGCCAGCCTGCCGGACTCGTCACTCGCCGCCAGCGTCCCGTTGTGTTGTACCCTCTGCCACGAGCGCCTGGAAGACACCCACTTCGTGCAGTGCCCCTCCGTCCCCTCCCACAAGTTCTGCTTCCCCTGCTCCCGGCAGAGCATCAAGCAGCAGGGAGCCAGCGGGGAGGTGTATTGCCCCAGCGGGGAGAAGTGTCCCCTGGTGGGCTCCAACGTCCCCTGGGCCTTCATGCAAGGGGAGATCGCCACCATCCTGGCCGGAGATGTGAAAGTGAAAAAGGAGAGGGACTCGTGACTCGCCTGCGCTCGCTGCCCGACGTCACCTTGAACTCGAACTGCTCGAATTCTGTATATATCTATAAATATATATATATAAATATATATATATCTCCAAGACAAGGGAAATGTAGACTTCATAAACATGGCTGTATAATTTTGATTTTTTTGAATACATTGTGTTTCTATATTTTTTGAAGACAAAAGGTATGTACTTATAATAAAGGCATTTCTTCTAATTCTTCTCTTTTTTTTTTTTTTCTGTTTCGTTTTTTCTTTTTTTCCCTTTTGTTATAGCAACTATTTGTTGTGCTTCCCTGGTGACAGTTACTGTTCAATGTAGGCTGTGACTTGCGCTGCTTTTTTTAGAGAGCACTTGGCAAACCAGAAATGCTTCTAGCTGTATTTGTATGCACTTGTTTCTTCTGTTTTTTCTTTTCTTCTTTTTTTTGTTTTTAATGCCAAATACACTTTCTGACATTGTAAAGATTGCCTTACTGTCTGTGATTCCTTATTCCTGGCCCCTGTCCTGTAGAGCTGGTCGCATGCAGGCTTGGTCTGAGGCAGCTGGGGACAAGAGTGGCTAGCCTAGGCAGGCATGCCCTTTGCCATCCCACTGGCCAGGCGAGCTTAGGGAGCAGGAGGGCTTTCTCCCAGAAGTGCGTGCCTCAGGTTGTGATGGAAGATCCTCCAGATCCAGTCCCAAATTGCTCACTGTTTCTCAAGGGAAGTTGTCACCAGAGTAGGATGTGGAGAGGTGCCCAAGAGGCGCTGTTGAGTTAGGGATTTCTGGGTTTGTTTGGTTTTGGTTTGGTGTTTTTTTTTTTTTTTTTTTTAAGGCAAAGTTGACCGCAGTTCTCGTGATCAGTTCTAAGATTACAAAACTGCATTTATTCACCAATTGCGTACCATAACATGGAATTTTGATAACGAACTTAGTTACATGGTTGGCGAAGGTGCCAGTGTAGCACTGCCATTTCTGAAGGTCTTCAGTGTCACTTGTGGGGCTTTTGTGTCTTTGGACAAAGCTGGGGATGTGGGGAAGAGACTTTATTTTATTTTACTTTAATTTTCAGATAGTGCATATGGATTTTGATTTTGCTTACCAGTCACCTCTAGTGCTGTTGCTATTGTTACTATCGCTGACCCGGTGTTTCCAAGTAGTGGCAGGTACGGTGTGGTACAGTGACAGCAGTGACTGAGGCTCTGCCAAATTGCCCGCGGGCATATCAGTGACAGCCCAAATGTGGGTGGAGGAAACCTGTAATTTCCTTATTACGTATGCTTGAAACAAACCTACTGCTATTCTTTGAAAATGAAAATATAAACTGGTTGAAATGAAAGCAATTAGGGCTGCACATAATGGCCCTGGCCCTGCCTTTTAAGCTACTTTGGAGAACTCTTTTGTAAAGCCACTTCTTTTGATCACGCTTCTGCATCACCAAGCAGACTTCTAAAATCAATAAATCATTGGTTACTAGAAATAGTTCAAGTCTAATAGTGATGTTTTTGTGCTGTTTATAGTTCATTGGCAACGCTGCAGCTGTACGAGCCCTTCTGTCGAGGTGTTTATAACTCGATTATATGTGGTTGTTTCTGAGCAAAAGGGTGGCGAGGTTGTCCCTTCCCAGGGACCAGCTAATAAACACTTCCAGTATCAGAAGAGGAGGAGGAAAAATCTGTTCAGCCAACTATACAATTGAAGATTTTTGGGTGCTTTTTACTCAACCATTCTTATTGTGATAATGTTCAAACTGCAATTTAATGCAGAGTAGTTTTGGGGTTTTTTTTTGGAAGACTACTTTTTTTAAAAAGAAATGGTCATTATTAGTATTTGAAGATCAGAACTGCACATGCACAGTAATTTTCTATGAAGTGTTTAATGAGCACACCCACTACATTGTGTTCCATATTACAGGTCAATGTAATATTAGATAAGACTTGCATGATAAACAAATTAATTGAGTCAATATTACGCTTTAAAACTTATAGTCAAGATTGGTGTCTTATGTAAACACATTTAGCCAATTTGAAGAAAACGCACATATATATATATACCTATATATATACTTATATATAAAAAATGCCAACTGTAAAGGATTCTTTGGAACCACTATGATCTGTGTAAATGTGTATTTAGGCACTTTATTAAAAAAAATGGAATTTGAGCTGATAGATGGTAACAAGTTCTTCAAAGTTGCTTGGCATAATACCTTACATGGGATGAAATTCATGTGATTAAGGTGGTTTCCCTACACTTAAAAAAGAAGCCAAACTGAATTCCAAAGCCTGCCTAAAAGAGCCTCCGCTTTTGTGTCATCAGGTGTCCCAGCTGTGAGCGGGCCGAGGGTGAGACCTGCTCCTGACAAAGCACACCCTTGTTTTGGGCCGAGGGACATTGGTGTGAAAGGCCTGTAGGGAAGCACACCTTCCTCCTCCTCCCGCCAGCTGCGCGCTCCTGCAGCTCTGTGACTCCTGGAGAGGATGGAAACTCCCCAGCCGGTGATGCCAGGCAGTGGCCCAGAAACAACATAGATGGAAAAGAAATGGCACACGGTGGCTATGCTCACTCAGCTGACTTTGAGCCCCCAGCCAAGTCTAATCTCCACCATAAAACTTGAGAACTGCTAAAGAAAAACAAACAAAATGAAACAAAAAAAAAACCAAAACAAAAAAAGAATTTAAAAAAAATTTGAGGGTGTTCATACATAGCTCATTTTTTCTCACATTGAATGTTGCTTTTTCCTTTTGGTTGCTTTGCTCAATTACAATAATATTCCGGTAGATTCTTCCTTTATTACTACTTCCTGGGCTACAAGCTTTTTTCTTTTTTTTTTTTTTTTTTTTTTTTCTTATTATTTTGAAGTGCTTTAGCTGCAACAGTGCTACTGTTAATATTCCTTTTTTAACTTTTTAAAAGGTGATACTGTAACTTGTGTAGTATTAAAAGTGTTTTAATGAAGAACGTGTGATTACTATTTTTTTTTTTCCAACCTACTTTTTTTTTTTCGAACATACTTTTTCCTGGCAGATTTTTTCAACTGCACGGTGCTTTTGTTGATAGCTGCTGAACTAACCAGCTGCCAGATTGGCATTTTATGGGTTTTCTTTTCTTTTTTTTTTTTTTCTTTTTTTCCTGACACTAAGCATAAGGAAACTAAGAACTTTAAATACTTACTGCATTTTTTTTTGTATATATAAAAAAAGAAGAAAGAAAACTTGAAAAAACTATAGTTGTACAATATTATTTAAAATTTTTTTTAAATACTGTCCTGACATTTATTTGTAAACAGACAGCAGTGTGGGACAGGAAGGGATGCATGGAGCTGGTGGGTGCTGCCCTGTGCCTGGGTGCCAGAGGGTGGGAAAGGTGCCACACAAGGGAGGCTTTGACCGCCTTTGCAGTGGCCTCAGAAAACCTGGTATGTTTGGGAGCTCTCTTTTTAGACATGCTGTAAACCAGGCCATGGCAACCGCGTGTTTTTATGAACTAGCACTTAGGCAAAGGGTGTAAATACATTTGAGAGTGCTCTCTAGTGGCTTGTTATGTCAACAGAGCCCCTGGATCCTTTCCTTCTGCACCCGGGCCAAGCCCTGCTTGCCTGTCTGTCCAGCTGGCAGGGCGGTGGCTCTCAGTGGCACAGGATGGGACGCTGCTTTAGGGACACTCAGCCGCCTGCCCTGCTGCTTGCCCCCACTCTATGTGTCCAACTTGTCCCCAAAGCAGTGTGGGACACCCCATGTGCAGCTGCAGCGCCCACACCAACACAGCGTCTCCTCAGGAGGGAGGAGAAAGCACTGGACCGTGTGGAAATGAATGGCACCAGGGGTGGCTGAGCTACTTGGAGCCCTTACTCTCCTGCTTCACCCCAGCAGGGCTATGTCCAGTCATTAGGCTTGAAAAGGCTCAGCCCTCAGCATTTCATGTTTCTCCTCCTTGAGCATTTGCATTTAGGTAGCTGCAGCTGCATCTTTTGAAAAATTGAAAAAAAAACCAAACTCAACCACCAACTTTCCTCAAGTGGACTCTTGTCTCTACAGACACCATAGGTCCAGCCCAGTATAAACTGCCTCCAGTATATGCTCCCATAGTGAGGCAAGAAAGAAAGAAAGAAAGAAAGAAAGAAAGAAAGAAAGAAAGACTGATCTTTTTCCCCCCTGTTAAAACAGAAGATGGGCTTGGGCAGTATATGGATGCACTTCCCGCAGTAGGTGCACTGCAGCCAGTGACCCATGACATTTGCCAGGCGCGGCCATGGTCCAGCTGCCCTGCCCTGATCCCATGTAGGCCAGCAGTATCCCTGAGCCATCCTCCTTCCCCTGCCCTTTGTTCCCAGGAGCAGATGCCTTTCCTCTGCCAGGGCCCAAGGTCAGGCAGTGCTAGAAGCAGATGAATGAAGTGCCTGCTTATCCACTTCATCACCAGGAGCTGCTGCTCTGCTCCAGAGGTAACTCTTTCACTGCCTCTGGGCAGCCTCTGGAGCATGCCACAGGCTTTGAGCACTAAGTGTGGGGTTCAAATTCTATGGAATGGTTCCAAATTCTCACAGAATTTCCTGAGAGGCTGAACTCTCCCTCCTGGGAAAGAAGGCACAGTGACATCTCCCACAGAAACTCCCGAGTGAATGTTAGTGCCTATATGGCTGGCTTCCTGGCTGGCATAGGTACACTGAAGATGGGGTGACAGCTCTGCAGGTATTTTTAGACATCACCTAACTTTGTTTTTCTTTCTGCCACTCCAGAGCTGGTTTTGTAGAGACTGGAATAGAAGAGTGCATGCTAAACCCCAAAATGTTGCATCAAGTTGAAAACCCCTATAAAACAAAATTACAGAGAAACCAGAAATGCTCATAGAAGCTTCTCATCAGTGTTTCTTCATCTCATCACCTCTGACTCAGCAAACACCACCAGAAACACCCTTGCCCATTAGCTCCCATTTCCAGCAGCACTGGGCCAAATGTGAGAACTTGCCCTGCCTGGCACAGCACCCAGCCATACCTCCATCTTGGGGTCCCTCTGTCTGCCCCCCAACCTGGTGCCTCCTGCCCTGGTTGTCCCCAGCTGTGGAGTGCCCCCATCCCATCCTGGGGTGCCCTGTCCAGGGCTGGGGATGGATGCCCTTCTGGATGAGGCACTGTGACTTCCCTGAGAAATAAATCCCAGGGCATCTCCAATTTGTAGGCACCTTGGAGGTGTTCAAGGCCGGGTTAGATGGGACTCTGAGCAACCAGATCTAGTGGAAAGCATCCCTGCCCATGGCAGGGGGGTTGAAATGAGGTGGTCTTCAAAGTCCCCTTTCAACCCAAACTATTCTCTGAGTCTATGATTTTCAGCTGCTGCCTCTGGGAAGGAGGACATTCACTCTTCACTGCAAAAATGCCAAGTCTGCATTGTCTTTTGCCCTCTTTCACTATAAAACACTTATTTCCCCCACCCACTGCCAGCCAGAGAAGCCTCATACTGTTTCCTTCTTTTCTTTTTAGCAAC